TACTATGCCTTTTTTCTGCCATACTATACTATGACATTTTTAGGACTTTTTATGCCTTACTATACTATGTCGTTTTTACTACTTTTTATGCCTTAATAAACTGACGCTTTTATGCCATCCTATACTATGACTTTTTATGCCTTACTGTACTATGCCTTTTTTCTGCCATACTATACTATGACATTTTTAGGACTTTTTATGCCTTACTATACTATGTCGTTTTTACTACTTTTTATGCCTTAATAAACTGACGCTTTTATGCCATCCTATACTATGACTTTTTATGCCTTACTGTACTATGCCTTTTTTCTGCCATACTATACTATGACATTTTTAGGACTTTTTATGCCTTACTATACTATGTCGTTTTTACTACTTTTTATGCCTTAATAAACTGACGCTTTTATGCCATCCTATACTATGACTTTTTATGCCTTACTGTACTATGCCTTTTTTCTGCCATACTATACTATGACATTTTTAGGACTTTTTATGCCTTACTATACTATGTCGTTTTTACTACTTTTTATGCCTTAATAAACTGACGCTTTTATGCCATCCTATACTATGACTTTTTATGCCTTACTGTACTATGCCTTTTTTCTGCCATACTATACTATGACATTTTTAGGACTTTTTATGCCTTACTATACTATGTCGTTTTTACTACTTTTTATGCCTTAATAAACTGACGCTTTTATGCCATCCTATACTATGACTTTTTATGCCTTACTGTACTATGCCTTTTTTCTGCCATACTATACTATGACATTTTTAGGACTTTTTATGCCTTACTATACTATGTCGTTTTTACTACTTTTTATGCCTTAATAAACTGACGCTTTTATGCCATCCTATACTATGACTTTTTATGCCTTACTGTACTATGCCTTTTTTCTGCCATACTATACTATGACATTTTTAGGACTTTTTATGCCTTACTATACTATGTCGTTTTTACTACTTTTTATGCCTTAATAAACTGACGCTTTTATGCCATCCTATACTATGACTTTTTATGCCTTACTGTACTATGCCTTTTTTCTGCCATACTATACTATGACATTTTTAGGACTTTTTATGCCTTACTATACTATGTCGTTTTTACTACTTTTTATGCCTTAATAAACTGACGCTTTTATGCCATCCTATACTATGACTTTTTATGCCTTACTGTACTATGCCTTTTTTCTGCCATACTATACTATGACATTTTTAGGACTTTTTATGCCTTACTATACTATGTCGTTTTTACTACTTTTTATGCCTTAATAAACTGACGCTTTTATGCCATCCTATACTATGACTTTTTATGCCTTACTGTACTATGCCTTTTTTCTGCCATACTATACTATGACATTTTTAGGACTTTTTATGCCTTACTATACTATGTCGTTTTTACTACTTTTTATGCCTTAATAAACTGACGCTTTTATGCCATCCTATACTATGACTTTTTATGCCTTACTGTACTATGCCTTTTTTCTGCCATACTATACTATGACATTTTTAGGACTTTTTATGCCTTACTATACTATGTCGTTTTTACTACTTTTTATGCCTTAATAAACTGACGCTTTTATGCCATCCTATACTATGACTTTTTATGCCTTACTGTACTATGCCTTTTTTCTGCCATACTATACTATGACATTTTTAGGACTTTTTATGCCTTACTATACTATGTCGTTTTTACTACTTTTTATGCCTTAATAAACTGACGCTTTTATGCCATCCTATACTATGACTTTTTATGCCTTACTGTACTATGCCTTTTTTCTGCCATACTATACTATGACATTTTTAGGACTTTTTATGCCTTACTATACTATGTCGTTTTTACTACTTTTTATGCCTTAATAAACTGACGCTTTTATGCCATCCTATACTATGACTTTTTATGCCTTACTGTACTATGCCTTTTTTCTGCCATACTATACTATGACATTTTTAGGACTTTTTATGCCTTACTATACTATGTCGTTTTTACTACTTTTTATGCCTTAATAAACTGACGCTTTTATGCCATCCTATACTATGACTTTTTATGCCTTACTGTACTATGCCTTTTTTCTGCCATACTATACTATGACATTTTTAGGACTTTTTATGCCTTACTATACTATGTCGTTTTTACTACTTTTTATGCCTTAATAAACTGACGCTTTTATGCCATCCTATACTATGACTTTTTATGCCTTACTGTACTATGCCTTTTTTCTGCCATACTATACTATGACATTTTTAGGACTTTTTATGCCTTACTATACTATGTCGTTTTTACTACTTTTTATGCCTTAATAAACTGACGCTTTTATGCCATCCTATACTATGACTTTTTATGCCTTACTGTACTATGCCTTTTTTCTGCCATACTATACTATGACATTTTTAGGACTTTTTATGCCTTACTATACTATGTCGTTTTTACTACTTTTTATGCCTTAATAAACTGACGCTTTTATGCCATCCTATACTATGACTTTTTATGCCTTACTGTACTATGCCTTTTTTCTGCCATACTATACTATGACATTTTTAGGACTTTTTATGCCTTACTATACTATGTCGTTTTTACTACTTTTTATGCCTTAATAAACTGACGCTTTTATGCCATCCTATACTATGACTTTTTATGCCTTACTGTACTATGCCTTTTTTCTGCCATACTATACTATGACATTTTTAGGACTTTTTATGCCTTACTATACTATGTCGTTTTTACTACTTTTTATGCCTTAATAAACTGACGCTTTTATGCCATCCTATACTATGACTTTTTATGCCTTACTGTACTATGCCTTTTTTCTGCCATACTATACTATGACATTTTTAGGACTTTTTATGCCTTACTATACTATGTCGTTTTTATACCTTACTATTGTATGTCATTTTTATGACTTTTTACGCCTTAATATGCTATGACTTTTTTATGACTTTTTATGCCATACTATACTATGACGTTTTTATGACTTTTCATGCCTTACTATACTATGTCGTTTTTATACCTTACTATTGTATGTCATTTTTATGACTTTTTACGCCTTAATATACTATGACTTTTTATGACTTTTTATGCCTTACTATGCTAGGACTTTTTTATGACGTTTTATGCCATACTATACTATGACGTTTTTATGACTTTTCAGGCCTTACTATACTATGACATTTTTATGCGCTTTATGCCTTACTATACTATGTCGTTTTTATACCTTACTATACTATGATGTTTTTTGCCATACTATACTATGACGTTTTTATGACTTTTCGTGCCTTACTATACTATGATGTTTTTATGACTTTTTATGCCTTACTATACTATGACGTTTTTAGGACTTTTCATGCCTTACTATACTATGACGTTTTTATGCGTTTCATGCCTTACTATACTATGTCGTTTTCATGCCTTATTATACTATGACGTTTTTTATGCCTTACTATACTATGACATTTTTATGACTTTTTATGCCTTACTATACTATGACTTTTTTATGCCATACTATACTATGACGTTTTTATGTATTTTTATTCCTTACTATACTATGACGTTTTTATGACTTTTTATGCCTTAATATACTATGTCGTTTTTATGCGTTTTATGCCTTTCTATACTTTTACGTTTTTATGCTTTTCATGCCTTATTATACTGTGACGCTTTCATGTCTTTTTATGCCTTACTATACTATGACATTTTTATGACTTTTTATGCCTTACTATACTATGACTTTTTTATGCCATACTATACTATGACATTTTTAGGACTTGTTATGCCTTACTATACTATATCGTTTTTATTACTTTTTATGCCTTAATATATTATGATGCTTTTATGCCATACTATACTATGTCGTTTTTATTACTTTTTATGCCTTAATATACTATGATGCTTTCATGCCATACTATACTATGACGTTTTTATGACTTTTCAGGCCTTACTATACTATGACATTTTTAGGACTTGTTATGCCTTACTATACTTTTACGTTTTTATGCCTTTGATGCTTTATTATACTGTGACACTTTTATGTCTTTTCAGGCCTTACTATACTATGACATTTTTAGGACTTGTTATGCCTTACTATACTTTTACGTTTTTATGCCTTTGATGCTTTATTATACTGTGACGCTTTCATGTCTTTTTATGCCTTACTATACTATGCTGTTTTTATGCCATATTATACTATGACACTTTTATGTCTTTTCATGCCTTACTATACTATGCTGTGTTTATGCCATATTATACTATGACACTTTTATGGCTTTTCATGCCTTACTATACTATGCTGTGTTTATGCCATATTATACTATGACACTTTTATGGCTTTTCATGCCTTACTATACTATGTTGTTTTTATACCTTACTATACTATGTCGTTTTTTATGAATNCTATGACTTTTTTATGACTTTTTTGCCTTACTATACTATGCTGTGTTTATGCCATATTATGCCATGTCGTTTTTTACTTTTTATGCCTTATGATAATGACTTTCCGTACTTTAATATACTATGCTTTTTATGACTTTTTATGCCTTTCTATAATATCACGCTTTCGTGACTTTAATTGCCTTACTATACTATGTTGTTGTTATTACTTTTCATGCCTTACTATTTTTTGTTTTCTTGACTTTTTATGCCTTACTATACAATGACCTTTTTATGCCTTACTATACTATGACTTTTTATGCCTAAATATACTATGATTTATTCATTAGGGGGCACGGTGGTGTAGCTGTTAAAACTTTCACTTCCCAGTGAGAAGGTTCTGGGTTTGAATCCCGTTTCCGGGGCCTTTCTCTGTAGCGTTTTCATGTCTTCCCTGTGCCAATGTGGGTTCTCTCCAAGTGCTCCGGCTTTTTCCCGCAGTCCAAAGACATTCACATTAGTTTTATTGGCGACTTCTAATGCCTTATGATACTATGACCTTTTATTGTGATGTCCTCTTTTCTTCACGACTCCTAAGAACCACTGATTGATACTAAATTACCACTCATCAAACAGATTTGATAACAATAAATAAAAATTCTTTCTTTTATTACTCCAATACGGACATTCTACACATACTGCATATTGAAGCATATAAGGGATAATCCACAATGAGCCAGGCAGTTATTAAAACTAATTCACAAAATGAAGGCTCTTACCATGAGTCAAAGTGGATTATCCTGCTTACACCACAGCCAGCTACCAGCAAAACATAGCTGCTTTTATTGATATCTTGGGGAAATATGGCCATGAAATATTAACATTACTCAAAATTATTCAAAGCCTCCATTGATCAGTTTCCAATATTCTCAGTGGCTGTGGTACAAGAAGAAATTAAATAACATGTCATTATATAGAGTCAAAAAATAAAATAAAAAAAACATAACATATATTAGATTACTCAGGTGTGGTTTCTCTGACATAAAGTCAAATAATTCTTAGGCGATAGAAAAAATATCCAGCTTGGAAAAATATTTCATCAATCATTCTTTGTACACTGAAATATTCTTACAAATATATAAAAGCAGTGCTCTTTACATGTAATTCTCTTATATGATATTATATATAGCGTTTTGTAATCCTTGAATCATCTATAAAAACTGATTATCTGTGACTGAATAACCCTGCTCTGGGCCCGGCTCAGTCAGGCCGATCAGAGACTCCAGGAGGTAGGTGCTCGACTCGTACTGTGGCAGGTTAACAGAGCTGAACAGCTGGAGATGGGAAAAGCTGTCTGGATGCCTGTGTCCTTTAAAAGAGCTGTGCAGTGGTCCAGAGGGGTAGTCGCTGTCGAAGAACTCCAGGTCGGAGTCAGAGGACAGACTCAGGTCCATGTACATGCCTGATGAATAGTCCACGGTAGGGGAGGGGGTGTTTGGGAAGTCCTCGAGCGAGTCGTTGTCAAAGAAGTCTCTGGCCTGGTTTGCATTCTCATCGAGATAATCTGTCAGCGAGGTCCTACTTATATTGTCTGTGAATGTGTTGGCTGTGGGTGGTCCCATACTGTCAGTAGTTGTGCTGTGTGTGGCAGAGTTGCCGCTGTGCTGTGTCGGCGGTTCTCCCATGTGCCTCAGTTGGCTACACATAGAGTAGTCATTATTTTCACAGATACTAAGAGAACAGGGCAACCCTCCGTCAACTTCATGGAGAGTCTGACTCCCAGTGAGGCATCCTCCTGCATCAGAGTCAGAGGAGGAGCAGGAGGACTCAGTCATGTCGCTGCTGCAGCTGTTCTCCTCCACTACTAACCGCTCTGGGATGAAATGGAAGGAAGGAGTGGCAGGCAGGGTGAGAGAAAGACCGTCTTCCTCCATGGTGAATGCAAACGGGCAGCTCTTGTCCTGTGTATTCTGAACTGCATGAGCCTCATCCTGGTCCTCATGGTCCTCTGGAAGCGCTGTCTGGTCCTCTCGGCTCACTGTTTCATCTTGCAGTTGTTTCTCCAGCTCGAGTCTCATGACGGTGTGGATGTAATGGGTCTGCACTCGTCTGGAGTCGAACTCAATACGTCCATGAGTGTTTCCACAACCGTCTTTAGTGCAGCCACATGGGAAGTTGGAGCGGTCAACCTATGTGTGTCAAAGAAAGAGAGAGTTGTGGGTACTCAAATACAACACAGCGTAATGACAACATGATCTCAAGTTAATCTCTGAAAGACAAATGCAGCTAAAATGTGTTTTGGCTGCTAAATCATAAGGTTAGATAATGTTAGGTAAGACAACAGTAACATTTGTTGTCTTAAAAAAAAAGTTCTATATTGGCTATTTATTACAGATATGTCATTTTGTTTTGTAAGAAAAAAACAAAAGCACTAAGTGGGGTGGGGTGGGTGATATGAATGAAATCTTCAATACAGTATATGCAATATTATACCACAACACAGATATATATTAAGAGAATCAATTGAGAAATTGTTGTAAAATAACAAAGTAAACGTAATGGATAAATGAAACACTAACAGTAGTTGTAACTTGGCCAAACTGACTTTGACAGTTCAATTGTATAAAAAAAAATATTGTGACATATGCTTTTATATAATCAATAGTGTTAAATAATATCCTGTTTCAAAATCAATTGAAATGGAACTTGATGGGTGGCGTCAATGAAGGGGATGTAGGCGTATGTGAGACAGAAGCACTGCTCTAATACACCCATATCCAATATGTCACAATAAAGTGACAGCTACCACAGTGTAAAGGTACAATAAAATCTGGATTGGACAATTGGACAGATTGATATTGTTTTACAGTAGATTATATATTGAATTCCACTAAGCACCGAGGATAACTACTACTTTCCTTTCTTCATTAAACAAGCCTTCAACATGTGACTGATACATGAGATGCTTAACTTGTAAATTGTAGTTAAAGGAGCTTTAACTACAATTTCACATTCAAATCTGTTCAACTTTCAGATGCAGAAAATGAAACATCAAACCTCCTCACTGTAAGATTTGCCTCAGTGACTTGTCATGGGCAAATCAAGTATATAATAAGCTTGTTATGTTGTGTTCAGTGTCATACCTGGCACTTGATGCCCGCCAGACTGCATGCACAGGTCTCTGGCTCACAGAAGCCTTGGCAGTCGCATCCACATGCCTCTCTGGAGAGACGCAGGGCGTGAAGCTGCCTCTTCTCCTCCCGGTCAATGCGCTTCACCCCCGCCGCCTGCAGGAGCGCTTGCCGCTGTTTGGAGCTGTACGGCGGAAGGAGGCCTCCATCCTTCAGCTCAGCATCACTGACGTGGATATCACTGTCGTCATCTGGGATTTGATCCACAGTGAACCTGTCTGCTTCTCGTTGGTCTATGGCCCCGCTGATGATGAGCTGGAATCAGAAGAACAGGTACAGTAAGAAGACTGCTGCATGGACAAACAATGCAAACTAATGTAAAAATTTAAGCGCACTTACTTTGTTTTTCAGTGCGTTGAACCTCTCTTCTCTCAGTCTTTCTCTGAGCTTCTCTCTGCGTCTTTGCCGTTGCTCCAGTGCATGCTCTGCCACTGTGTACCTTTGGAGGGTGCTGTGCCTCTGCACCATGCCCAGGGTGGCACCTCCACGTCTGGGCACGCTGGTGAAGCCCTGGCAGCGTGGGAAACTGAACACCGTCACCTGGTCGAAGCGCACATTGCTCTGTACGCCTCCAAGCCTGGGCCTCTTCAGAATGGACCGATCTGGTTGGGTTTGAAAGAGACACACAAAACATCAGAAAAAGTGAGGCACTGCCCGGTCCAGCTTTAGAGTGATCATCTGGTGCTTTAAAAAGTAAGAACATAACAATTACATTATCAGAAAACTAAAACATGTCATGATTACTTCTACTTTGCAGCGCTAAATGTTGTACAGTATTATTGTCCTTGCTGAAAGTCAGTGTAGGAAGCTTCACAAACAACTCTCAAGTCCTACTCTGAGGTACTGTGAGGGGGATTTCAGTCCTAAGTTAACTTTCAGCACAACCCTAGATGTGATTCTTAGATATTTGCTAAATACAGGCCCATAACTTTGACACAGGCTTTGGTTTCTGTAGGTCTCTGAATGGCCACTAGGGGACACACTGGGTGCTTCACTTGAGTGACTTTGGTCATTAGTTCAACATAAGCGAGGAGAGGAAATACCAAGACAGGGGTCTTCTGGACAGACCAACGGCAGAGAGAGAACAGAGGTGAACCAGGGTCTAACTGCTGGAGGTTTACCAGAATGTAATTAGACTCTTTCTGCCAGTTTAGTCGTTAGTATCCATCAGGTTACTGTTTGGTTTGACAGTTTGGCTTCAACAAATTGTCTTGACCTTCACACATAACTGAGGCTGAACTCTGGCTGCAGTAAACAACAGAGACCAGTTGACTAAGCTTTGTCTCAGCTGCTCTGTCCGTCTCAGCAGCTCCACACTGGGGCACTGTTTGAACCAGTTGTGAGACCTGGTAACAGACTCACATGAACAAGTGTAATACATGAGGTTTTACAGTGTGCAACAATAAACTGCAGAATATATTGTCATTGCAAGCCTTGTGTGCAGCTTTGTGATCCCTGGGGAAGGACATTTGATAAGACTTGTTTAAAGGGACCTTGAAATTCAAATTGATTCCACACTGTGCTATTGCTCAGGCAAATGAGCTTCCACACAACCGGACAGAAAGTCCAGAGGCGAGTCATTCTCGGTGCATTATCTAGAATGGCCCTAAGGTTAGCATTTTCATATCAGCAAGTTATAACAGTGCTGCTGCAGGGTGATAAGAGACACTCCTATAAAACACTGAAGGGAAAACGGACAGATAAGGAAGAGGTTTGCATTATTTGAAAGACAGGGAAAAGAAAACAGTGGTTGCTGGTTTGGAGACTCACTGGGTAAACTGGTGGGTGAAGAAAGGCTCCTATGGGTGAAATCCTGGTTGTCGGAGGAGCTGCTCTCACTGTCGGACTCCCACTCCGAGGAGGCGGGGGAGGAGAGGGAGGACGGAGGAGAGGAGGAGGAGTAGCGGGGATTGTCTTCTACCTCGGCAAACTTTCTCTTAAGGATGTCTCTCATTGTTTGGCTGTGGTGGTTGATATACATTCTGCATGAACACAAATACAAAAGGCACATTGGTTTAAATATTTATCAATGCACAGATCAACACTCTAAAGACGCAAAAACAAAAAAAAGAGTCAGTGTTGGCTTCGTCTTAACAGCATTTGAGCCTTCCTAACCCAGGAACATGAAATGAGACATTATATAAGTCAATGAATTAATAATGGAATAACAAGTGAGCAACACAGCAACGATGTTTCTGCTCTTGTTTGACAGACCCAATGTACACAGTCAAATAAAACATCTTTAGAAAGTGACAACTGCAGGAATGAGAGGATCTTTCCTGCTGAAAGCTGCTGCTCTGCTGGTTGAGTCAGTGTCAGGCAAAGAGTTTGTTTAGGCTAATCACATCTTTGATAGTGGTTATCCTAAAAGCTGAAGTGTGCAGATGTGGGCTGAAATCCAACTTTCGCTTACAACCAGCTGAGCACTTGAGAGAGAGTAAAAAAAAAAATCAGCAGCTCTTTTTTCCTTTCCCTGCAGAGTAATTAACATTCCACTGATGCCTCAAGTTTTTTGTGAAGAATACATGGAAACGGACCATCCAATGGCTGTATGCTAAGGGGTGGAGGGGGGGTGTAATAGTTCAAGTGCCTGTTATTTTTGGATGTGAACATGGAAAATAAATCCAAACATGAGTAATTTCAGGGTTACAAACCTTAGCAGGGCTGCTGAAAGCTACTAAGTAAAGGAGAGTATGTTGTAAAAGAGAGTGATGAAAGAAAAGAAAAGTTGTTATTAGACTAGTCCAACCTAGTGTGTTACACAAGTCAAGCCGTGTGTGTGTAGAAGCTGTTAATTCATTTTTTGAAACAATGGAGCCTGCTGCATGCAAGACCAACTGCTAACATTTGGTTTGAGGCTTCCTTGATTAAGTGGCTCGGTCACGTAAATGTCAGAAAATAGAGAAGATCACATCATAATTTCCCTAAAGCCCAAATGTGTTGTTTTGTCCAAGCAACAATCCAAAACATAAAGATATTCTGCTAATATCTGCTAACTTGAACTCTTCTTTCCCAACAATCAGAGCTATTTGACCTCAGGATGTTTAATCTCCATTATGATCCAATAGGCAACAGTACTACAAGCAGCTGACCAGGATTCAGAGTGACCTCCCCTCAAGTCCCAGAGAGGAAGGGAAGGGACCGTTCAGCCTGGCACGAGTCACTGAAAACAGCACAGCATGTGCATTTTCTAAAAGACAGAGTACACCAGGTAAAACAATGACATTGCTTCTGGTCAGAAAAAAGCAGAAGGAACCGCTGACTCAAAAAACAAGGGGTTTCTGATTGTCTGTATTAAGCAAATACTCAAAAACCAATGAGGCTGCGTGTGTGTGCGTGTGTGTGTGTGTGTGTGTGTGTGTGTGTGTGTGTGTGTGTGTGTGTGTGTGTGTGTGTGTGCACTCAGAGCAAAAAAACTTCCTGGATCCATCAGCAAATAAGAGGTGAAACAAGAGACAGCTTATTGTGCCATTCCACTGTTTACACAGTAGAAGCCTCTGCTCCATAGACAGCGAGGTGTAGAGGGATTTATCTGTACTGAAAACACATGTGCACGTCTGTTCAAAGTACCTAAAGTTAAAATGACAGTGTTTCTAATTAAATCAGCATTGCAGTATCTCCCTCTTGTCCCGATTATATCACATGTATTACATTTAATATCTGACAGAGTAAAAGACTTTACAGTACATGTAGGTATCCACTGAGACCACATCAATAATTTAAAGGTTCAAAGCAGAAGCAGCACAGGGTGCGTGTGCGCGTTCACGAGGAGCTATACTGCATAAATGTACAAAAGTAGTTCAGACTAAGCGTCTTTATAGTGACACTATTGGGAAAAACCTACTAAGACGCACAATAGGTTTACAGTAATTTCACTACTGTGTTCAGGCAACTCGCTTTAAATCCCTACAGGAATGTAACGTGGATGTCACACCGAGGTTTCATTGGAGATGAGTCGTTTCCTGTTTGGCATAATACCAGTCATTAGGCGGCTGACCTCTTAACCCCTCGTGGAGACACACGGCGACCACGTCAAGCTACAATGATAACACTGACTGACCCCGCCGCCCCCCCCCCCCTGTCTGCCAGCTTTCTGTACAGGCAGCTACAGTCTCATTTACAGCAGAGCAAACTTCCTCTGCCGCTAAAGTTTGTCTTAACATTGGTACTAATTTTCATAAAAGTATTAATGTGAAATATTAACAGTAACATTTTGAGTATTTGTCCAATAAATGCCTAAATTCCACAGTAATATAGGTAATTTTTTTTCTAGATAAACATATACTAAGTTATAACCATAAAAGATGATAAGGTGATTATATAAACTAATTACTAACAAACATTATACACCAACATAGGACCAGTACGGTGACTTTACGTTATTTAGTCTACTTACCACGAAGTAAAAGGCTGCATAATAACAACGAAGGCTGAAATTTACACGAAGTTATGGGTTTTGTCCACAGTCCAGCCAGCTGAGCATTGTGAGTCCCTCTGTGTTTATGTGAAGCTACACAGTAGTACTAGTGTGAACATGAGAGGACTGGCTGGGAGCTGCCAAAGAGTCAACGTGTAGAGGCAAGATAGTTCACCCCTCGGGAACCGCCACAGACGTCACACATGCGCCCAACGGTCGGTATAGCTAGCTATATAGCTAGCTATATTTCCTGAAGTTATTTATGTTGGAAAAAGTCAGACCTACGCTAGGTTGTTTGTATAAAAGATAGGCTACATTATAGTACAACTCATGAAAGAGCAACAACGTTTTTGACTGACATCAAAAGGCTATCATTAAACCTAGCTACAGGCAGTGACCACGGCATTGTCTGGTCAAATCATCCGAACCTCGTCCGGATCAAACAACCAAACTTAACACATTATAGCTTCAAAAATCAAACATATTATCAACTGCTATTTAAAATACCGTAGCTAACATCTGCCAATGACAAATGCTCTAGTTAGCTGGCTAATCTGCCCAAAGAAACCGCGAGTACTTGGGATGGGGCGGTGATTCATCTAGCTTCGCATCCTCTCTGCAGCTCCCCTGTCTGTCTTGACGCAGGCGGTGACACAATCAGAGGCAGGAGACGCTCATGACTGACGCCGCTGCCCACAGATTCCTGAGTACTGCGCTCACACTGCGTCGTTATAACAATGATGTGATGGTAAATAAATCACATGTAGAGTTCCAGCAGGTGATTATCATCAGAGGGTAATCAGGCTCCATTATAAACGTGTAAGGCCACATGTACTGGCATGGGAGGGGTTGTTTGTTTTATTGTTTGAGTGGCATGTAACTTGGGACATTTCATTTTTATCCAGTCAAACAAAATAAACTCTAGAGGGTGGACAAAATGATGAGAACACCCACTGTAAGATAGAATAAAATTCAGTGGTATTTCAATTTCAACATTAGCGGTTACATTTCACAATATATTCAGTTGTCTGCAGGTTTCCGGTTTTTATGGCCTTTCTTTGTTTCCATAGACTGTATGCTCTTTTCTGTCTGTGGAAATTGTCTTCAAACCTCTTCAAATGGTGACCAGACCTCCATTACAGGTGACACATACTCCTTGGTATTTATCTTACCGTAATATGACTCAGAGGTGTTCCTCAGTAATTATGATTTTATTCTGACACTCCTAAACTGCAGGAACTCCCTGAGGCGTAGAGGAGCTGTATATGGGCAGGATTATAGACTTTGGTATAAAGCCTTTGCCTCTCCTGCTCAAGGAAAAAATCCTCCTCCTTGCTTCCACGCTGTACTCCATTTCTTATAAACAGATGTTGTCATAAATTAAAGTTTGTCCATGCACACACTCATTTTGAAGTTTTTTTGAAGTCTACAGAGTGAGAAAAAGCAAAGTGAGAAAAAGCAAAGGGACGGGATTAACATTCCAGTGTCTCTGCTTTTAAAGATAATCATAGGCTACTCTGTGTCCCCGACTGGGAGGAAAATGAAGCTCTGCGCACACAGAGAGGCAGACAAACAGAGCATCAGATCAACAGATGGACAGACAGATGAACGGAGAGACAGACAAGTCCAAAATACTCTTGAGATTAAGCTTTGACCCCTGTGTTGATACACATCAGCGCATCAGTGAGGAGTCAAACAAAAACTGCACTAATACCGAAATACCTGTTGGTACAAATGCTCTGGCCGGAGGTAGCACTGCCTGTCCCGAACTCAGCGCTCAGTGGAAGTGTGTTACGAGGACTGTGACCCACTTTGACCCACTTTGGCACGGATCACTATAGTGCATGTGTGTTTCCTATTCCACTGATCCGGGTGGGTAGTAAACACCAGGGAGAGTGTACAGCAGGAAAGGAAAGAATTAATACACAGTAAACAGTACATAAATAAATAATTCATAATAATAATCTTTTATTTGAGGCTCAAACTTGGACTGCTTATAAATAAGTATAATGATCTTATTGAGAGTATTTCATGTGAGGTAGATTTTGCAGCTTGAGGGTACATTCAGTCTGTGTCTCGTCTCTGAGATCTCAGAGCGACTTACTCATAACACATGATCAAAGTGCTCCGTGAGGCTACGGGCTATTTATAGAACAATCACACTGCGTGGACAAAAATACATTTGTGCAATACAGTTGGAGTTTCCTGTTCCCTTTGCTGGCTGTTACCACGCACAGTGTGACTTTGTTGTGTGTAGTGTGTCCGGAGGTTGGTCCAGGACTCTGCCAGTCCACACTAACGGAGAAGGAGATGAGTCATGGATGGATCATTTATATTTCACTTGAAGAGCACTGCAATGGTCATTTTTAGTTTAGCACAATAATTCTCTCTTAATTTACTCTGTTTATTCACCGTATCAGTCTGACTGACCCACTTTCCCAACCTGATTCCTTTATATATTTTTTTCCAGTTTGAATTCCATTCACGTCACGCAAATAATAATGGAGAAACGACATATTGCGCCACAGTGCCCATTATGTCAGAGCTGCTTTCCGCAATGTTGTCACCCACTCATATTCTGTGTCTGACAGATGATCCTGTCTCACATCTGCCTCGCAACTGTCAGAGAACAGTGAGAGTAAACTATCGCTGCGCTTTCAGTCCAGAGTCCATGTTACACAACTTATGGTTAACCTACATTCTGGCAGACTCTCAGGTTGCTGCCACTGGCTTTTGTGGCCCCGTTTTCTCAGTCAAGCTGTGCCAGCAATGGCCCACATACAGCAATATACTGACAGAGTTTAACAAAGCTTCAGGCATGTGAAACTGTGCCCCAGTTTCTCCTTTCTTCCTGTGGATTCTATCTCAGGGATTTACCCCCCCCCCCTTTTAAAGACCTCTCTCAGTTTTCCTGGGCATGACAGGAAGTATCAGGTATTGTTGTTCCTTTCCAGTCAGGTAGTAATGTAAGGTGCCAACTGGAGCCACATGCTACCTGGGGATTGTGTTGTTTTCCTGATACATACTTCCTTGATGGATATGATAGATAGCAGTGACAGAAGAAGTACACATACTAAATTATTACCATCAAAATATACTTAAAAGTATAAGTAAAAGTATTTATTTTGCAGAATGGTTTCAGAACAATATATATGTATTATTGGATTGTGGTTATAGTTTCATAAATGTGCTGCAGCTGGTGTGTTAAAGGTGGATGGATCATGGATCATGGATCATTAAAGGTTTATGGTATCTAATAGAAACATCATAATTTATTTGAAATTTCATCTTGTATTATTAATCTGAATCTGTGCATAGATAGATAGATAGATAGATAGATAGATAGATAGATAGATAGATAGATAGATAGATAGATAGATAGATAGATAGATAGATAGATAGATAGATATGATTCACTTCCTCATGATATAAAGAAATGGAGAACTTAATCCTACGTCATGTTTGCCTCGTTCTCGCAGTCGTTGATGTCTTCCTCCACAGCCCCTCTCAGGGAGATGTCACATCAACACGTTTCCTCCTTCATCCTTCACACTGCCTCTGATGTCATATATTGACGGTCACCATGGTCACAAGGGTAAATAAAGCCCAGCCGATTCTATTTCAGAGGGTGGAAAGGCAGTGAATCATTATGTTTGTCTTCATCATTATCATTATCATCATCTTTGCATTCATCATTTTTTACGTCAGTGGTGTCAGCTTTCTTTTCTGATTGCAGGTTTACTCGTCTATTTAAATGATGATATCTATGTCTGAGGCAGTCACGTCAGGTTTCTAGTTTTAAATTGTTGAATGCTGGTTTTCTATAAATATTCAGGGTTTGACATTTAAGCCCTACGACGAGCTACAAGCAGATCACTTGCTTCATTAGATCATTGTAGGTAGTTTGATCAGTTTGATTGACTGTGCTGTAATATAAACACATAACCCCACAATACAGGTGTGTATCTCTCTGATACAAAAACAGGATACAGCTATTCAAACAGGCATATTAATGTTTTTTCTTTTTTCAAATTTCATACAGAATTCAGGTCTTTAGTTGTTTATCAGTGCAGGCAAACTCTTCACTCTCACGTTGTTTTTCCGATATCTAATGGTTAATCTTTGAACAAATGCCCTGCAACTATTATTGCATTGAAATTCTAATGTTACTGAATCCCTCATTGGTGCAAAAATATGTGATGTCCCCTTCCCTCCGTCCCAAATGAGATCCACTGCCAGTTGGCAGCACTGTGAGAAGAGTACAGATAAAACAGCACAGACAGCAATCTGGTAAAATACCCAAAAATGTTCGAACATTGGCAAAAAATGTTGTGTTCATGAAGGAACCCATTGTTCGTGGTTAAAAGCTCATATCAAAATAAGGTTTCCAGGGGCTTTAAACCGAACTGTGTGCCAAACCTATCAAAGAGATACCAATCTCACTTTCCCCACTGAGGAAATGCCATCAAATAAAGACTTTAGATAAAATTTCACGACAGTGACACCTTAAGTGATTATGTCAACTGCCATCCTTTTGTATTAATTCAGTGGGTGACACCAGAGAACTTCCAGTGACACCCTAATGGCAAGTCCTGGCCTTACGCCAGTTGTACATCTGACTAATCCTGGGCTTCGTCCAGGGGAAATATCGTATCTCTGTAGAAGAGCTTGTCAGGCTACAACAACCTGGAGTCCAAGGCGCTGCTCTCTGTGCAACATGTAGCCTGAAAAATTGATATGAAAGAGATCTATGCTATAATGGCAAGTAACCTGCATACAGTGTGCATGAACTGCAGTACTGTATAATTCAAATGCCTTCACTTAACTGCCTTGTCATTGCTAGAAACAGTAAGGCTCAAAGCTGCTACACTCATATTTTAAGGCAATGTACTGTAGATGTGCCATTTTATTAACTAATATAATTCTATTTTTTATATTTTCATAATATATGGACAATTATACCCATTAAATCCTTGTAAAACATCCTCCATGTGTGATCACTTTTACAGTATTCTTGCAAAAGCGAGTCAAGCTGCAGCCCAAAGAGCAAAGTAGGTTACACAACT